AATATTATACCAAGGGCAATGCAAAGTTTCTAAATGAGGCTTTGATACAAAGTCCCATGAAAACAGAGGTCACATGTGGGTAGACCCACCACAAGGTTATATGAAGAGGCACAATGTAAAATCATATGAAAATTATCAGAGATTTATCTACACCCATTGCAAACAGGAGTGACTCCGGATTCATCCCGGTGGAGCTGAGATCAGAACCTCGCCCTGACACTGCTGTAGTCAGCAGTGAATCCAGATTGACTGGGGATGACCCATATATGTGGGTGTCTTGAATCCAGTTGGGCTGGTTTCTGGCTGGGTTGGGCCACGGTGCCGGAGAGTGTTGGACTCCCCTTTGCCAGGTGAGACGCCGGGTTCCCAGGGCTCCAGGGCCCTGCTCAGCCAGACGCTGTGGGCACCGGGTCCGACGGCCCCAGCCTAGCCTGGCACCATGGGCGGCGTCAAACAGCGAGATCAGGTATGGGCCCCCCTGCCCCAGGGCTGGGATGGGCACCAGACCTGGGGGGTGGGTGGGGCGAGCAGCACGGGGCATCCAGACACCGAGCTTCCTGGGGGTAGGGTGCATCTCCAGGGTGGGGGGGCTCTGAAGGGGTTGGGGGGTTCTGAGGGGCCCTTCTCCGGGGGGGCTCTGGGAATTAGCGGGACACTGGATGTTGGGGGGTTCTGAGAGTCCCCTCTCCAGGATTGGGAGGGGCCTGGGGGCTCTGGGGCTTGGGGGGGGTTCTCCTTTCTCAGACCCTGACCTGGCACCTCCACCCCACTTCCCCCCCACTCCAGGCCTGGATCCTCCAACACTTCAAGAAGAAAACCTGCATGACCTACATTGAGGATCCACTGGAAACAGGGTGAGTGGGGTACTGCCCCCCCCATCAGGGATGCCCTGAGGCTGCTCCCCCAGTGCCCCACCAGGGGCCCCTCCCCCCCCGCACCCCAGGTATTATTGCCATGTGAGGCGGGGTGTCTCATCACAGGCAGCAGCCCCCCTCCGTGACCCCCCTGCCCCACTGTGACCCCTTTCTCCCCGCCCAGTGTCCCAGTGACCCTGTCCCTGCCCCCCAACACCCCTGGTTCTCCTCCCAGTGCCTCCCCAGCACCCCCGTGACCCGGTCTCCTCCCCAACCCCACTAGTGCAGGCCCCTGTGACATCTCAGCCCCCGCATGACCACCATCTCCTCCTCAGCGCCCCCCCTCAGTGCCAGTGCGGGAGGCCCCGGGCCGAGCATGCCTTCGTCATGGCCGTCAGCAAATGGGACTCGGCCCAGCACACCATGGAGGGGCCCACGGACGCCTTTGGGGAGCTGGAGTTCGTGGGGGCTGGTGGCAAACCCAGCAAGGTGAGGGGCTGCGTGTCGGGAGTGAGGGGCACCGGCAGAGCTGGCGGGGAGCCCAGGGCTGGGCTAGCAGGGGTCTGCGGATCGGGAGTGAAGGGCACCGGCAGAGCTGGGGGGTGGGAGGGGCTGGCCAGGGGCTGTGTGTCGGGAGTGAGGGGCACCACCTGACCTGTTCCTCACTGCCCCCGGCCAGTTCATCCGCCTGTCGGACTCCTCGGACCCTGAGCTCGCCTACAACCTGGTGACCGAACACTGGAAAATCTCCCCTCCCAACCTGGTGGTGTCGGTCGTCGGGGGTGACGGGGAGGCCCCCGTCCGGGCCTGGCTCCGGGACCTGCTGCGTAAGGGGCTGGTGAAGGCGGCACAAAGCACAGGTGGGCCCCCCTCCCTCTCCTGGGCTGAGCAGCGGTGGAAAGCTGCGTGTGCAATGCACTCGCGTGTGCAAACGCTGGTGTGCTCTGTGCAAACGCCAGTGTGCTCCGTGCAAATACTGCCATGCTCCGTGCAAACGCCGGTACGCTCTGTGCAAACACCAGTGCGCTCTGTGCAAACACTGTGCAAACACTGCATTCGTGCAAATGCCGGTGCGCTCTGTGCTCTCCCATGCGTGGGTGCAAAAGGACACGCCCTTTTCCACTCACGGGGAAGCCCTGCCCCATGCAAGTCCTGAGGCAGCTACACCAGTGAATGCGCCCAGCGAGATCCCGCCAAGCACACGCTGCCCTGCGCTGACACCCACACACACATCCATGCAAGGCGGCTGAGTGCGACGTTGCACCCCAAGGTGTGGCCGCGGGCCGGCACACACATGCCCCCAGGCCTGAGGGCTGGGTCAAGTCTGTGCCCGTGTCCCATTCAGGATCTGGGTGTGACACGGGGGGAGGGGAGATGGGAGTACGGGGGAACTGGGGGGGCACTGGGAGGGGCGTGTTACACTCTCAGTCTGTGCCACAGTCCCTGCCCCACCCCCCAGGTGCATGGATCATGACCGGGGGGCTGCAGGCCGGGATTGGGCGATACGTCGGGGAGGCCGTCCGGGACCACGCCACGGCCAGCACCAGCCCCTGTGCCCGCGTGGTGGCCATGGGCATCGTGCCCTGGGGCGTCGTCGCCAACCGCGAGGCCCTCGTCAATCCCAAGGTACGTGTGTGTGTGGGGGGGTGTCTCTCTGGAGGCAGCGCATGGGCCGCTGGGGGCTCTCCGTGGGGGGCCTGGGTGGGGCACCAGTCTGGGTACCAGGGAGGGGTCTCTGTGGGGG